TCTTATGATTTGCATTTAGACGAGTTGATTATTAGTATGCACCCTTGTGATGTTAGAGCAGATACTGTAGGAATAGACAGCATACTCATGTTAAACAGTGTGAAGAAGTGCATGAGTGACAAAGATCGCATGATTATGACATTTACTTTAGAAAGGAAGTGTCACATTGTCACTGTGTCAGATTCAAGGTAATCAAAATGATGACAAATGGTGACAATGATGAATTCTTTATTTTCATCTTAATCATCAGCTTGGGTTGCGATTTAAATTTAAATGTTGTTTTATCATTAACTGAGGGTGCAGAACACAGATGTGATGTAAAACCAACATCGGATTGCAACGTTGGTTTAAATAACATGTTAATGTTGACTGAACATTGTTGCAACGCTTGTTTGCTATTTGGGATGAAAGTGTACACTGTTATGACATAAAATGATTAATTAAACATGCAATGCAACACTGATGCTCTTTCAAAGAATGCACTGTAATTGAACTCCAAACCTGAACTTGAATTCTGGCTTCTTGTTTTGTCTTTTTACTTATCCAACCTTGTAATTTCTTGTAATTTCATTACACAACTTTTTATATCACAATTTCTGATGGGAATCTAACAAAACTCAGGTCTCTTAAAAAGCTATTTCACTGTGACCTGAGAACCATAAATCCTGGTTATACTTAACAGTCTATGGATAGCAACTGATACTTTGAATGCTTTAACTCAATAAGCCAGCAGTAGAAAATAAAAGTCCTATATGACTTGCCAACAGCCAACAGTTTTTTTTTTTTTGGTGGACACTTTGTGTCGAGTGTGGAAAGCAAGAGAGATGATCAGTTTTATAAGAACAAACCTTTCAAATGCCAGCTTCCATCACAATGTTAATCTCTCAGTTGAGGATAGTAATACAGAAAAAGTGACTGCGTTTACCCACCTTTGAGAGTCTTCTCTTTTGCAAGTCAATTAATCACAGACAGAAGGTGTGAAAGAAGTTTAATAAATCATAAAGTCTATGTAACAGAGTGCTGTTATATTTAGATGCATTCATTTTTAGGTCATATAATTCTTTTTATTTGTGCAGAGATGTCATTTGTAGTACTGTACAATTTTTTTCAGCTTTTTTTTTTTTAGCCAATCTCATGTTATTACTTTGGAACCGCAGGAAAATGATGTTATCACAAAGCTCATTGGCTGATGGCACCACAAGAACATGTTCACAGTTCTAAAACTTTCATTAGCGACTATCCTGATCTGTGATGTCAAAGGCAGCAAATGGGAGAAAAGTCTATATCAAGCTTTTAAGAGCCTCCAAAAACTGGTAAAACATACTATAATATAATGAAATATTAGCAGATGGTGCAATTCCAACATCTGCCAGCAGGCTAATCAGGTACCGTGGCGTGAACCAGTTCAACTTCCATTATTATTCCAGGTTCAGTATAATTTCAAATCTATTTGAAACCTGAGGTAATCAACAGATGCTGTTGATACCACAAAGCATCATATTGTCACTAATAAATTTCAGTCTGTTCCTCACACAAGGTTTTAAAACACATGGACCACATTTATGGTGCTATTATGTGTTCTTTAGTTCTTCAAAGTTTGTTCTGTTTTGTCCACACAGAAGAAAGAAGGTCTTATGGGTTTGGAATTATAACTTCTTTTTTTTTTTTGGTGAACTATCCCTTCTAACTTGGAATATTCCTTTAGGTTCTACAGGCTCACAATGATTCACTATGTCAGAAATAGCACATCTTCTCATGCTTGGGTAACAAAGAGAATTCATAGAGGCAAAAACGTGATTCGGGTCTGACGGATAATAAGGGCGCTCACACTTTCCAGTCTGATTGGCAAGAGGGATGAATTCATGCATATCTCCAAGGTTCTCCTTTCACATTCTCTTACCCATTGAGGTGGTTTGTATAAAATGCCTAATTACACTCTAATGGTTAGACTATTCAAACATCAGCGACTGGAATCAAACTTCCAAACCGCAGCAAAATAGACAAGCTAAGCACACCGCGTTAACAACCATATGCTTCCTCAAATAATGGTTTCTATTAAAGTCGTTCTGCGTTTCAAAAGAGGGCAGGGAACCACTGTTCAGGCATGTCCCATTGCTTCTCATATAAGTTACTGCAGTGCACTAGTTCTCCACTGTCATATCTTTTGATGCACTGACGTTTAAAACCTTGTTTCTCACCTGAATAGCTGGTGGGCTGCTGGCCAGTTATCGACTAAACATCTCTCTGTTTTTTGGGTCAGCAGCTTGGCAGCGAGCAGTTCTGGCAGTTTAGGCGAGTTCTGCTACTGAAAGAGAAAAATGCTGATCAGCTGACCTCCGCTCTTATGTTCTGATTCCCTCACACAATTTTCCAGTTTTGAAATTTTCTTCCTCTTTTGACTCATAGACCAGTCAAAATGTCATTGACACCAAAAATTTAAATTTTGATGTTGGCAAAGATTTTTTACATTTTAAATTTCATTTAAAGCAACTACAGACACTAGATTAATAGGATGGATATCGTCATTCATCGTACTTCCTAAGTTCGTTAATCACTGCATTAAGACAATTTGTTTGTAATACAATTTTTTTTATATCAAGTTTCAAAGTTTCAAGTTTCAGTTTATTTATATAGCACGTATAAAACAGCCACACGGCTGACCAAAGTGCTGTACAGAAATTCAAAATAGTAAAAAGAATATAAAAATCTGCACAACTACACAATTAAACAGGGTCTCGCCTTAATAATAAAATAAGTAAATATATTAATAACACAAGAGAAACGAAGTATAAACCCATAAAAGACTAAGCAAAGACCATAATAGAAAATTATTTGTAAGCCAAACAAAACAGATATGTTTTTAGAAGAGATTTAAAAGTGGACAGAGAAGGGGCAAGTCTAATCTCTAAAGGGAGGCTATTCCACAGCCGCGGCCCAACCACTGAGAAAGCATGATCTCCTCTACGTTTGAGTCTGGATTGTGGGACTAGAAGAAGATTCTGATCACTGGATCTTAAGCGTCTGGATGGAGTATATGGGTATAGTAATTCAGATAAATAAATAGGGGCTAGATCATTTAAAGATTTATATACAAATAAAAGAATTTTAAAATCAATTCTGAATTTAATAGGCAGCCAATGAAGGGTCCGCAGAATTGGAGTGATGTGAGCACTTTTGCGGCTATTATGAAGGAATCTGGCAGCAGCATTTTGAACTAGTTGAAGGCGATCAATTGATGACTTAGAACTACCACAATATAGTGAGTTGCAGTAGTCTAAGCGTTTTTTTTATATGTTATGTTTAAATATACAAATATGGCATTATCTAATTAAATATGCATTAATTTACATACATTTTAACCGAAATCTGAAGACTGGATAAAGCCAGATTCAAAATTCTTGTTTCATTTAGTTGACATTGGAGTTAAAGGCTTTTGCAGATAGTGAAGTATGTTGATATCTATATTTAATGTTTACTCTCAGTTTTCTTTTCCCTTGTAAACATATTTCCTATTGAAGCAGGAAGTTTGGGAGAGTTAATAGCCAATTGCTATTATGACTTCATGGGGTCAAGTATAATTAAAGTTGTAGTGTTCTGAACTAATAATAGGTGATAATGTGCAAGTAGGTCACAGAGAATATATAAATTAGGTTTGTGGGTTAAATTCTCCTTTAAGTTATGGTTGATGATTATTTTCACAACAGAAAATGATCTACAGAGCTTCTTTATGGTTAACTTAGCATTTTATGTAGCAGAAATTGATGCTAGATACGCAGTGAAAGTAATCTCTCAGAAAGAACCCAAGCAGAGGAAGCTGTTTCTAAGAGTCGATTCAATGCATGTGTAAAAAGAGGACAACTGACTGATGGTGATGCCTTCTCAACTGAGAAAAACATTCAGCTTCTTTTTCTCTCTCTCCATCTCTCGCCTTCTTTCATTCTCTTTTTTTACACTTAAGAAGAGGGAACAATTTATCATAGCGCTGCAATTCCGACAGCTTCCTGTTTATAATGCCAGCCAGTTCCTGCAGCTACCTTAAAGATGACTAGAATCTAAAATAATGCAATACACATGAATTAAATAACATAAAATGTAACACAAAACACTCCAATGCACTTAATTAATAGTTAAAAAGGAAGAAACATAACATTTACCATTTTACATTTACATTTAGTCATTTAGCAGACGCTTTTATCCAAAGCGACTTACAAATGAGGACAATGGAATCAAAATCAACAAAAGAGCAATGATATGCAAGTGCTATAGCCTAACGCAGTACACATAGTTTTTTTTTTAAATTACAGTATATAAGAAAACAGATAGAATAGAAAAAGAATAGAGCAAGCTAGTGTTAGAGGCCTTTTTTGCTTTTTGTTAATTGTATAATAAATAAAAAGAAAACAAATAGATAGAATACAAAAAGAATAGAGAAGCTAGTGTTAGTTTTTTTTTTTTTTTAAGAAAACGGGCAAGTCTAAAAGTGCAAGAGTGCAAGTCTAAAAGGGGCAAGTTTTTTTTTTTAAATAATAGAATTAGAATAGAGAGTGCTAGAGTTAGAGGGTCAAATAAAGATGGAAGAGATGTGTATAACATTTTAGATTAATAATAGAATATAAATATAATATAAAGAAATGTCATGGGTCTTGCAATGATTTCTGGAAATTACGTCTACACTTTTAACTTAAGGAATCCCCCACAAAATGTTTACAATTTATATAATTTCAACTTAATAAAAATGTAAAGTTAATACGTTTTCATAGTACATTAGCATGAGCCCAAAACTTTTCACTTGGCATTTTAAAGACCATTTCTACTCCACCCTGTCCACGAATCTGTTCTTCAGCTGATGACACGTAACGCTTTGTATAATTTTTCAATATTAACTCCGCCCATACGCACAAGTCATCACGCATGGCCCCGCCCACCAGCGCTGGCGTCATCAATTCAAACTGGTACCGAAAGCAGAGTGGAGCTTGTGGCGAGTCAGAGCTCAGGCTGCACCGAGAAGGGAGGTACAGACTGTACTGCACGGCCTTTTATATTTCGTATGAGCACGACTTGATTTGTGAAGATGTGGACGGCTATAGGGAAACTGCTGCTTTTACATATGATACTCGTAGGGTATCTGCTGGTAAACGGTAAGTGTCTGTTTTACGCTGTCAGTCCGCTGTTATGAATGTAAATGAATGATGCTGTAGAAACACCGGCGCAGCCGCGTGCATCTACTTCCTATGATAAGACATTATTAGAGCGCTATAACGTAACTCTTTTTAGGTAGCTTGTATTGTAAAATATTGCAATCTGATCAAGTATATGAATGAATGTGTCTTGTGCATCATTCAGATAGGTCATTGATTGTAATTTCTCATAGACTACAATTATAATTTGTGGTATCATATTTACTGCAACCTTTCATTGCACACGTGCACATCGATTTTCCTGTGACAGTACTGCCTAACAGCTGTTAACAGATCTGTGTAAAATTGTCAGCAATTTCTAAGAATGTGCTAAATGTTTTTATAATGTCTTTACATGGCCCCTATTTTCAAAACGTTTTAGAATTTTTAAGTTTTTCAAGTTTTCAACAACTTGTGACGTACAATATGTGAATCTATAATAAAAGTATATGTAACATTGTACTTTGTAAGTCACCCAACAGTTTGCTTTGACATCCTTTGGGGTAAAGTAAAGATGTAACCAAATATTTAAGGTTGTTCCTTAGTTTGAAAACTTGATCCTTCCCAAAGTTTGGACCCTGCATTTACTCAGATCTTCTTGTGTGACAGGAAATAAACCGGACTGTGAAAGCGGTCAGTTTCAATGCAGGAACGGCAGGTGTATCCCGACTCCATGGAGATGTGATGATGACGATGACTGCTCGGACAACAGCGATGAGGAGAACTGCCGTGAGTAATCTGAACCTCTTTTTAACAGGTGTCTTATGTAGCCTTGCTGGTATCCTCTTTGTTCTTCTTTTAACCAAAACAGCCTATGTTTCCCAGTTGAAGTAGACCACTTACTAGGTTTTGAAACACATGAATAAACTTACCTTGCTGTTTCTTTGGAAAGACTCCCAACTGTCACGAGTTGTTGCTTTAGGTAACTTCACACTGGATGCTTGTAATCGCACCTTATTATTGTAATTAATAATAGTCACATGTATAAGTGAGAGTGTGATCGTGTTCTGAGTTTGCATGGCATTTTAAATGGGCCTATTTGAAGCATATTATTAGACACAGACATCCAGTTATTAGCTGTAAATGGAAGTAGGACTTTGCAGGAAGGCTGACACAGTCAGGATTGCTTTTTTCAGGACCTGCTAATAAAAGACAAACATAAAAATCGTAATCAGCAAGTCGAATGACTTAATTGAGATGTAGGCTATAGCAGCGGGGAGAAAGGCGCAACTGGCACAAAATGTAATTATCCCGATGTATTGGTCACGGTATTAATTGCAAGTGCAGTAATTATCCTGGTTAGCTGATTAATATGGTAAAGTGGAGGCACGGTGGAGAGAATATGTTTTACTTTCAAAACTGATAGAATTCAAACTTAACTTAAAAGTCTTGAAGTTACTTTACGGTCTTGCTATAAAGTGGCAGTCGCTCAGATCTGCACTGCATTCTGGGCATGTTGATCCAATATAGAAACCCAGAGTTTTAGTCATGTAGGGTTATAAAGGTCATACATGCTTTCGTTCCATGTTTATGGGTAGTGTGTGCTTCCTACTAAGCTTTCTCAGCTTCACACGAACTAGAATGTGGGGCAGGATTGTTTAGCTACATTTATCAAGTAAGAGAAAGATACGTCTGCACCTTGAATTTACACACATCGGGAATCACTTGCTGCACAACAAAACCGGTAGTCTTTTGATTTTTGATTTAGATGACCCATTTTTATTAAGTATTTATTTATATGAAACCACCTGATCCGACTTAAATTATTTTAATTTGTTCCGATTTGATTTGAGAGAATTCAGAACTCAGAATTTTTCGTGTCATTGCCAACTTTCATTCCCCCAGGTTCAGGTTTGTCGCATGCACCTGGTGTTTTCTTGGCGTTGGTTATGCTCGTTTAAATGGATTCATGCTAAGGTGCCCTATTACACGTGGTATCTCCAGCAGGCAGGGTATCTGTGGGGTTTCTCCCCAGGTAGAAGCGCTCTCTTGGGCTGTCAGCGGGCTGAATGCTCCTGTCTCTCCTCTGGATGTTTTTTGCCGCAGACTTGGGCAGACATTGAATTAGAATAATACCTTAAGGATTGTGCTTTGCGCTCCCCTCCCAGACACAACCTACTCACAGAATTGGCAGGATTCCTCTTTAGTTGCCCATGGAGACGGTAATAGCAACACTTCACGACACATACTACTCCCTCTCCCTCTCTTTCTGTGTCTCTTTTTTCAGTACCAAATTCTAATCACAGGGCTTTGTGTCTGAAGATGAAGTGGGCTCTTCGGTAGAGACTGGCTTAGTGGCTATTTATGTGTGTCAGAATGGCCTTTAGTCTTAGATGATGACAGGATTTAGCAGGGTAAATGTACACTGTGTTGTATCATTCATTTGGCGGATAATGATTTGTTTACTTGTGGTTAGTTTTGGGCTTTGATGCAAACAAGAAGAGAATAATGCCGAGTTCACACTGCACGATATTAGCCCGTTTTTCTTTTTCTCCTTGTAGCCGGAAATCAGCTCACAGACAATTTGCGGGTTATATATTTAGTTTTTAAATAATTACAGTCTCGCTGGAGATCGCGGATCCATCGTGCAATGTGAACACAGCAGCAACTGAATGCTATCCCAGATAGTCACGCAATGTGAAAACAACGGCGATCCGACGAGTTTGAAAATCGTGCAGTGTGAACTCGGCATAAGAGTATCTGAGTGTGATGATAACCAAAATAAGTGACAGTAATGATTGTAAATTTTGGGATAAAAGCCCTGAAAGAGTGTTTCATAATTTGCTTGTACTCTACCATTAAAAAATTTGGTGTTTTAAATATATTTGAAAGAAACATCTTATGCTCATCAAGGCTGCATTTATTTGATCAAAGATAGAGTACAACACTATTATTATTTTCACTACCCCGTGTTTTACATACCTTCACCACAAATATAATGAAGCGCCAACGCACAAATTTTTTTTTTTTTCTCTCAGTCTCTAAAAAAGAGGTCAAATAGGGCGTATCGTACAAGGTCACAGGTCACAGACATAATCAGGTATCCTGTCTACCGTGGAATGTTTATCGAATCTGTTGAGATAATGAACCTAACCTCCTGTATCACAAGCATAGCATGTTTAAGAAGACTGTAGGAATAATATCTCGTTTTTATATGAAATGACTGCACAAGGTTACAACTAACAAAGCTGGTCCGTGTTAGAAGGGTTATGTATTACACCGGTCTCGAGTCTCACGGAGGAGCTCCGGAAGGATAAAAGGGAGGAGTGACGACAGTGTCGGGGAGAGAGGACCAGGCCTGGAGTTTATTTTGTGTTTTGTGTGCGGCAGTCGTCCACGAGGGGCTGCCGCTTTACTTTCGTTTTGTGTTTGTTTTATTATTAAATGGTTTAAATGTTCGCCGGTTCCCACCTCCTTCTTCCCGAACTACGAACGTTGTTACAGTGTAGCTATTAGACTGAGCTCTTTTACGTGTCTAAATGCACTCCTTTCTTATTCAATCCACACACACATAGTACACACAGAGTGAAGCGGAGCCAAATGAGTGAGCAAACACTGCTTCTAGTATAATAATTTCCTGGTACTGCTCCCCATGTATTGCAGCACCTTGTGAGGAGGATCTCATTTGTTTACTTTGAGGTAGGAAGTATTCCTCATGGGAATGTAAATGCATTTTTTTTGTGTGTAAATGTGCAGGTTTAATAAAAAATGATTTAAAAATTAGACTACAAAATCCAGGGCAATATTTTTATGATGTGTACATTCATGATGTCATACTGAGTGATTCACTATGGTCTGACCTGCGTAATTGCAGTGCAGATATCACTGTGCTGCATCACTTTGAATTTCTTTTATTACACCCTTCTTTTATATGTTTTTTAGTGTTATGTACCTTTTCTGATAAATTGGTCTGTGAGCCGTTTCTGGGAAAAAGGAAGCAAACTACAACGATTTTAGGATATGTGTTGTCAAACAGGATCAACAGGTTTATACTTCTTGCATTTCCACATTAAATAATTCAGCCAAAAAATTTGGTCATTTGGTCATCGTTTACTCACTCTCATGACATTCCATTACTTTCTTTCATGGAAAAACGGACTGAGAAATGGTCAGTCTTTTTCACGCAATTACAATGAATGATTACCGCAGCTTTCAGGCTTCAAAACGGATGCAAAAGCATCATAAAAGTGTCATAAAAGCCATAATAAAATATCATAAAAGTTTTTTGAAGCTGTATGATATCTTTGAAAGTTAAACAGACCGTTTGTGTGATAATTCATTCATCATTGGCAGTTAACTGTTGCAAACTGGATCAGCTAAATTCCTGAATGAATCATTCAGACCAGTTTTGTTATCTGGATCAACTGATTCATTCAACATTTCTGAATGATTAATTCTTAAATTGGGCTGTGCTACTTTCCTCACGAACTCTCGAATGCACCAAGGAAAGCTAGTGCACATGTCAAGATTTTAAAGGAATAACGATTTATAGTGAGATTTGTCATATAGACCATTTCTTTCATTCTGTCATTTTTAGACCTTGAGAGCCCGCAGGATATTCTTCATAAATTTGTCTCACAAACAAAAGCAAAAGCAAGTCATGAGTGTGAATAAATTAATTTTCATTCTTGGGTGACCTTCGTTAGTGATCAATGTCACAATGCTCCTCCAAATCGCTCTGGCAGAGAAATCTTGAGTGACTTTTCTTTGTTTGAAATTGTGAAGCATGTGTTGTGTACGAAGGTGAGTTTTAAGCATGTGTGGAAACCCGTTACTGCTGTGGTAATTATTGCTGCCTTTTGTTATTGCCCAAGGGCTTTGTTGTTCAGTTAATATGATCAGAAAACATGCATTAGTGCTTTTGAGAGACTGAGCATGTGTTTGTGATGGCGGGAGTGAAGTTATTGTGAAACAAAGACCCAGGTGACCATGAACGGTCCGTGTGCATAATATAAATCCAATTAGTGTCTCTCCATGTGCGGATTGTGTGTGTGTAAGAGAGAGAGTGGATATGCTATATCAGTGGGGTTAATTCAGTTCAAGGGCAAGAAGGTTCTGCTTGTGCAAAAACTCAAAATCTTCAAAATACCAAAACAGACGCTTGTTTTTACCCAAGTAGCACTTATGTCCAAATGATGGTGTCTTGTTTGAATGTGCGAACATTCATTAGCGTTTCAGTCTGTGTCCTCTCAAAACTGTCACTCTTTCAACACTCACGCATATATATGCATTTCAAAAACTTTAGAGAGCATATGGGACCTTTTTGACTTGCATTTCCTCTGTAATACTGATATAATGTGAAAATGTATTCATTAAGCCGAGGAGAGCGAGAGAGACCGAAACAAAGAGAGGCGACGTACGTGTTTTCGCCTGCATATTGTGGATATTGCCTGGATATTGTGGAGAAGCTTTTGGGTGAGTTTCATGAGCTACTTACTAATATGAAATCTTAGGTCTCTGTTTGTTCTCTGCAAGTGGGGGTGGGGAATGTGACAGACACATAAGGAGAGACCGAAACAGAATAAAGGAGAGGTGAACAAAGACACTGCCTCCAGCACACTCCGTAGCTGTTGGTGAAGGGCAGCTGAAGTGGTAATAACACGCTTTTTGTTTCATTTATCTATTTTTTTTCCACATTGTATTCTCGTGGTAGATATGTTCCAGGTGGTCTTTGCTCATCAAAGTGTGCCACAGGCCAGTGATTCATTTGGCAGGGTGGTAGAAGAGAA